CTGGCCTGGCGGGGCGTCAACCTCTTAGCCTCCGAGAGATATGTAAGTTTCTTGTGGTCAGTGAGAATTAGAACCGGAACCACAGAAACCCTCACGCAGGTGCCTCCATTCCTTAAGAGCCAGAATAATGGCCAACAACTCCCTGTCTCCAATCTGGTAGTTGCACTCTGCAGAGGAAAGCTTCTTGGAGTAGAACCCACAAGGAAGTAGGGGTCCCTCGGGTGAGCGACGCTGAGACAAGAGGGGGCCTACTCCCATCTCAGATGCATCAACCTCGAGGGCAAAAGGCAACCCAGGATTGGGATGAGACAGAATCGGGGGCCGAAGCGAAGGCGTATTTCAGAGCCTCGAAAGCTGAGATGGCCTCGGGTGGCCACTCATGAGGATTACTGCCCTTCTTGGTCAGATCTGACAGCGGCTTGGACAGCGTGGAGAAGTTCCTGATAAACTTCCGATAACAGTTGGGTGGAATCCCAAAAAGCGTGGAACGGACCGTAGACCACTGGGGCGAGGCCACTGCAGGACCGCCAAAACCTTCTCAGGGTCCATGGAGAAACCCACCGTGGAAATGATGTAGCCCAAAAAGGCAACCTGGGATCGGTGAAATTCACACTTCTCGAGCTTACAGAAAAGCTTGTTCTCACGTATCCGTTTGCAGCACCCGCTAAACATCCTGGATATGAGACTCCCATAGACGCAGAGTAAACCAGGATGTCGTCCAAGTAAACCACCACGCACTGCTGCAACAAGTCACGAAAGACATCATTAATAAAGTCCTGAAAAAACCGCGGGTGCGTTACACAACCCGAAGGGCATAACCAGGTATTCATAGTGGCCGGTTCTGGTGTTGAACGCGGTCTTCCACTCGTCGCCCTCCTTGATCCGTACGAGGTTGTAGGCAGCCCTAAGGTTGAGTTTAGTAAAGACCGTTGCTCCCTTGAGGCGGTCAAACAACTCGGTAATCAATGGAATAGGATAAGCATTTTTAATCGTGATTCGATTTAGACCCCTAAAATCAATGCAAGGCCTCAATCCACCGCCCTTCTTTTTCACGAAAAAGAACCCAGCTCCTGCTGAAGAAGTAGATTTGTGAATGTGCCCCCGGGAAAGCGCATCCGCAACGTACTCCTCTCCATGGCCTGATTCTCTGCCACCGAAAGAGGATACACCCTGCCACGCGGAGGAGTGGCACCGGGTTGTAAGGTTATGGCGCAATCATATGGACGATGAGGAGGCAGAGCACCGGCGCGCACCTTGTCAAACACGTCCAGGTACTCCCCATATTCAGTGGGCAGCACAGAGGCCGAGGAGGTGCACAACACCTTAACTGGACCACGGATGCAACCGGCCCCACACTGCGGGTGACCATGAGAGAATCTCGGCCGATCGCCAATCAAAGGTCGGATTGTGCTTCTGAAGCCAGGGATAGCCCAAAACCACGGAGTAGTGCGGAGAAGCAATTACCTGGAAATAGGCCAACTCCCTGTGAACAGCCCCAATAGCTACTTCCACTGGCAGGGTCTCGTGGGTAACCTGCGATGGCTGCAAGGGTCTGCCATCTATCGCCTCGAGGACCAATGGAGTAACTCGAGCCTGCAGGGGAATGGAGTACTGGGCAGCAAACAAACTGTCCATAAACAAACAGAGTCTACCAACGCCTGGGCCGTCACTGAGCCCTCCTGCCCCAGAGAGGACAACGGTGATAAGCAGTTTTATCTTTACGGGAAACCGTGGACAAGGAAACTCCACCCAACATCTGCCCCCGACAGGATCTCAGGTGTGTTGGCGTCTCTCCGGATGGACCGGACAGGACTGCCGAAAATGCCCCCTGAGACCACAATACAGGCAGCGACCCTCATGATGCCGAGAGGCCCGCTCCCCCTCGGAAAGGCGAGCAAATCCCAGCTGCATGGGCTCACTACCAGACAAGCCATCCCCAGGAGGCATGGGAGGAGAGAGAGGCACGGGTGGGACAGAAAACGTAGGCGCCAAACGGTTGGGAGGCCTCCGCAGACGCTCCTTAAATGAAGGCCTCTCTCTGAGCCTGGTGTCAATCAAGATTAGGAAGGAGATGAGTGCCTCTAACTCCACAGGCAGTTCTTTGGCTGTGATCTCATCCTTCAATGCATTTGAGAGACCATGAGAGAAAGCAGGCACCAGAGCCTCATTGTTCCAACCCACCTCTGCCGCCAGGGTACGAAATTCAATGGCATACTCGGCAACGGTTCGTGAACCCTGATGCATGGACATGAGCAACTTGGCAGCAGAAGCGGAGCGAGCAGGCACATCAAATACCGTACGGAAGGAGGCAACGATACGGGTAAACTCATGAATCACCAGATCATTCCTCTCCCATAAGGGATTAGCTCAGGCCAAGGCCCTATCAGAGAGTAGCGAGATTAGGAAGCCCACCTTTGACCTCTCAGTAGGGAAAGCGTGAGGTATTAACTCAAAGTAAATCCCCACTTAGTTAAGGAAACCACAACACTGACTCGGTTCACCCCCAAAGCGCTGAGGAAGAGGGGCAGAACCAGTCATACCTCTGGGTACCCCGGGTTCAGCAACAGATGCGGAGGTAGGTGCAACAACCGGAGTGACCACTGACCTAATAGCCCCAGAGGTAAGGTGTGCTGTGCGTGCAAGCAGAGCCTGCAACGCCTGAGCGAACTGATCCAACAAACGATCCTGTTGGTCAAGTCTGGCGGGTAACATGGGAAGCGAAGGCGTACCTGCACCGTCAGGATTCATGGCATTCGTGTAATGTCAGGGCAACGACGATGGAATGGGCAGGCAGGCCTATGCTACGGTCACGCCACGACTGATGACAGCCACTACCCACAGACCAGAGTCCCTCAGGGCGCGGAGTCTAAGCCCCAGGCTACCCTTCACCAGGGCCCCTGATGGTGGGGATGGACTTGACGCACCCCAAGACCAGGTCACGGCCCCCGAGTAACCCCAGCTGCGGTAACGACTGCCGCCAATGGCATACAGCTGGTGGGAGCTAGATGGGAACACGAGTAGCGTAGTCAGACAGGCCGGGTCAATAACAGCGGAGCGGACAGTACAAGACGGGAGACAAGAATACTCAGGTCACGGGCCGGGTTCAGCAACGGGAGGTCAGGTAATGGGGGATAAAGCAGCGAATAGTCTTCTCCAAGCCGAGTCGGTTACCAGGAGAGCAATGAGAACAGAACAAGAGCTTGCGACAAGGAAACATACAGGACACGAATGCAGAGAGCACTTGCAGACAGCAGGTTTAAATGTGCTCAACCACACCCTTCTGAGGAGGAGCCGCAGAAGCCTGAAGGCATAAAGGTTCCCACCATGCTTTGCAGAAACCCAAGATGGATGCCAGCACATGGAGATGAACAAGCTCTGAAGAAAGGTAGGACCTTGACAGTGAGGGAGCGTAATATGGAGGGGGAAGGAGGTCGTAGGAGTTGTGAGGGGATAGGGTCGAGGGGACAGGTGGTGAGGCGGGCATCAGAGAGGATCTTGGAGACTTCCTCGATGGTAGTAAGGTCAAAGGTGCAGAGTGTTGGGGGGGCTTCAGTATGAGGAATGTAGGTTGGGGTGGAAGTGGAGGTCAGAGCAGTGGTGGGGCCGTGGGAGAGGGGTGATGAGGGGATAGCTGAGTGAGGGGAAACGGGGTTGGAGGGAATTTGAGCAGCAATGAAGTCCCTGTGGGTTTTGTCGAGGGAGAGGGGGGATGAGGGGGTAGCTTTGTGAGAGGGGACGGGTTGAGAGGGCGTGTGAGTTGCGGCCATGTCCTTGCGAATTGTGTCAATCTTGTTTTTGAAGTGATTGGCAATCTCAAGGGCGGTGAGTGAGGTGCTGGGTGAAGGTGGGGTGGCGAGAGTAGAGAGTTGAAGGTGGAGAAGAGTCGGCGAGGATTGGAGGAGAGGGCCTTGATGAGGGTCAGGAAGTAGGCTTGTTTGGCTGCGTGGAGGGAGGAGGTGTAGGTGTGGAAGGCAGATTTGTAGCGGGTGAAGGCTTGTTGGGATTTGGTTTTGCGCCATAGTCGCTCCAGGGTACGATTGTGTCGTTTGAGGGTTTTGGTGTGATCAGTCTGCCAGGGCTGGAGCAGTCAGGGTCTGATGTTGCGTGTGGTTAAAGGCGCTAGTGAGTCAAGGACTGTTGACAGTGCGTTGTTGTAGGCAGTCATAGCCAAGTCGGGGCAGGACAGGGGGAGGATGCGGTCGTGGAGTTGATCAGCTGCAGAGTGGAGGGGGGCAGGATTAAGGTTGCGGAGGTTACGGCTGGTAGTACTGTGACATTTGGAGGGGTAGGCGTTGGAGGATGAGGAGATAGAGAAGGTAATCAGGTTTGTGGTCAGAGAGAGGGAAGGGGGTGTTAGTGAGGTTGTGGGCAGCGCAGCGGTTGGAGAAGACAAGATCAAGGATATTACCGTCGGAGTGGGTGGTGGATTGTATGCACTGCCATAGCTTCCAACATCTCTGGGGGGAAGGATGTAGACGAAGCAGCTTCACCATATACTTTTTTAACTGCCTCCCACCCTCCATATAAGGAAATGATGAGCAGGTGGCGGTTCTCTTGTTCTGGGAGGACGTTATATGACGTCCTCCCACTCTAACTGCGCGTGCGTGCCCCCGGGAGCACGTAGCACGGCCATCGGTGGTGGGATTTGTCCCTTGGACACAGCGGATCACCGATCAATGGAAAAAGCCAATGATGTCGGCTCTGTCATGTGATCAGCTGTGTCCAATCACAGCTAATTGCATGTAAGTAAGGAAATGCCGATTATCGACATTCCTCTCCTTAGAGCTGTCACGCTGACAGAGGAGAGGAGAGCCGGCAATCGGCATTACTCAGAGGGAACATCTACATTGATCATCAGGTCTGATGATGATCAGTGTAGCTCTAGCAGTGTCACCTGTCAGTGTCTATCAATGCCACCTGCCATTGCCCATCAATGCCACCTAACAGTACCCATCAGTGCCACATCAATGCCACTTATCAGTGCCTACCAGTGCACATCAATGCCACATCAGTGCCCATCTGAGCTGCCTTTCAGTGCCACCTGTCAGTGCCAGTCAGTGCCACCTATCAATGCCAATCAGTGCCACCTATCAGTGCTGCCAACCAGAGCCACATATCAGTGCCAGTCAGTGATGTCTATCAGTGTGCATCAGTGCTGCCTAACAGTGCCAGTCAGTGCTGCCTAACAGTGCCAGTCAGTACTGCCTATCAGTGCCAGTCAGTGCCACCTATCAGTGCCAGTCAGTGCTACCTATCAGTGCCAGTCAGTGCTGCCTATCAGTGCCATATATGAGTGCTGCCTTTCAGTGCCCATCAGTGATGCCTGTCAATGCCCATCAGTGCCACCTATCAGTGCTGCCTATTAGTGCTCATCACTGCAGCCTCATTTGCGCACATCAGTGAAGGAGAAAAATCACTTATTTACAAAATTTTATAACACAAAAGAAAAACATTTTTTTTTTTCAAAAAATTTCAGTTGTTTTTGGTTTGTTTATCAAAAAATAAAAAACCCCGAGGTGATTTAATACCACCAAACAAAAGCTCTATCTGTCAGAAAAAATGATAAAAATGTCATATGGGTACAGTGTTGCATGATCACGCAATTGTCATTCAAAGTGTGACAGCGCTGAAAGCTGGAAATTGGCCTGGGCAGGAAGGGGGTAGAAGTGCCCTGTAGGCAGGGAGGGGGGTAGAAGTGCCCTGTAGGCAGGAAGGGGGTAGAAGTGCCCTGTAGGCAGGGAGGGGGTAGAAGTGACCTGTAGGCAGGAAGGGGGTAGAAGTGTCCTGTAGGCAGGAAGGGGGTAGAAGTGTCCTGTAGGCAGGAAGGGGGTAGAAGTGTCCCCTGTAGGCAGGAAGGGGGTAGAAGTGCCCGGTAGGCAGGAAGGGGGTAGAAGTGTCCTGTAGTCAGGAAGGGGGTAGAAGTGCCCTGTAGGCAGGAATGGGGGTAGAAGTGCCCGGTAGGCGGGAAGGGGGTAGAAGTGCCCTGTAGGCGGGAAGGGGGTAGAAGTGTCCTGTAGGCAGGAAGGGGGTAGAAGTGCCCGGTAGGCAGGAAGGGGGGTAGAAGTGTCCTGTAGGCAGGAAGGGGGTAGAAGTGCCCTGTAGGCAGGAAGGGGGTAGAAGTGTCCTGTAGGGCAGGAAGGGGGTAGAAGTGCCCGGTAGGTAGGAAGGGGGTAGAAGTGCCCTGTAGGCAGGAAAGGGGGTAGAAGTGCCCTGTAGGCAGAAGGGGTAGAAGTGTCCTGTAGGCAGGAAGGGGGTAGAAGTGTCCGGTAGGCAGGAAGTGGGGTAGAAGTGCCCGGTAGGCAGGAAGGGGGTAGAAGTGTCCTGTAGGCAGGAAGGGGGTAGAAGTGTCCTGTAGGCAGGGAGGGGTAGAAGTGCCCTGTAGGCAGGAAGGGGGTAGAAGTGCCCTGTAGGCAGGAAGGGGGTAGAAGTGCCCGGTAGGCAGGAAGGGGGTAGAAGTGCCCTGTAGGCAGGAAGGGGGTAGAAGTGTCCTGTAGGCAGGAAGGGGGTAGAAGTGCCCTGTAGGCAGGAAGGGGGTAGAAGTGTCCTGTAGGCAGGAAGGGGGTAGAAGTGCCCTGTAGGCAGGAAGGGGATATAAGTGCCCTGTAGGCAGGAAGGGGGTAGAAGTGCCCAATAGGCGGGAAGGGGGTAGAAGTGCCTGGTGGGCGGGTAAAGGAAGGGGGTAGAAGTGTCCTGTAGGCACGGAAGGGGGTAGAAGTGCCCTGTAGGCAGGAAGGGGGTAGAAGTGCCCGGTAGAAAGGAAGGGGGTAGAAGTGTCCGGTGGGCAGGAAGGGAGTAGAAGTGCCCGGTAGGCAGGAAGGGGATAGAAGTGTCCGGTGGGCAGGAAGGGGAATAGAAGTGCCCGGTGGGCAGGAAGGGGGTAGAAGTGCCCTGTAGGCAGGAAGGGGGTAGAAAGTGCCCGGTAGAAAGGAGGGGGTAGAAGTGTCCGGTGGGAGGAAGGGGGTAGAAGTGCCTGGTAGGCAGGAAGCTTGGGGGGTAGAAGTGTTCTGTAGGCAGAAAGGGGGTAGAAGTGCCCGGTAGACAGGAAGGGGGTAGAAGTGCCCGGTAGGCAGGAAGGGGGTAGAAGTGTCCGGAGTGGGCAGGAAGGGGATATAAGTGCCCTGTAGGCAGGAAGGGGGGTAGAAGTGCCCGGTAGGCGGGAAGGGGGGTAGAAGTGCCTGGTGGGCGGGAAGGGGGTAGAAGTGCCCTGTAGGCAGGAAGGGGGTAGAAGTGTCCTGTAGGCAGGAAGGGGGTAGAAGTGCCCTGTAGGCAGGAAGGGGGTAGAAGGGTAGAAGTGCCCGGTAGAAAGGAAGGGGGTAGAAGTGCCCGGTAGGCAGGAAGGGGGTAGAAGTGTCCTGTAGGCAGGAAGGGGGTAGAAGTGCCCTGTAGGCAGGAAGGGGGTAGAAGTGCCCTGTAGGCAGGAAGGGGATATAAGTGCCCTGTAGGCAGGAAGGGGGTAGAAGTGCCCGGTAGGCAGGAAGGGGGTAGAAGTGTCCTGTAGGCAGGAAGGGGGTAGAAGTGTCCTGTAGGCAGGAAGGGGGTAGAAGTGCCCTGTGGGCAGGAAAGGGGTAGAAGTGCCCGGTAGGCAGGAAAGGGGGTAGAAGTGCCCTGTAGGCAGGAAGGGGGTAGAAGTGTCCTGTAGGCAGGAAGGGTGTAGAAGTGCCCTGTAGGCAGGAAGTGGGTAGAAGTGCCCTGTAGGCAGGAAGGGGGTAGAAGTGCCCGGTAGGCAGGAAGGGGGTAGAAGTGTTCGGTGGGCAAGAAGGGGGTAGAAGTGCCCGGTGGGCAGGAAGGGGGTAGAAGTGCTCTGTAGGCAGGAAGGGGGTAGAAGTGCCCGGTAGGCAGGAAGGGGGTAGAAGTGCCCGGTAGGCAGGAAGGGGGTAGAAGTGTCCGGTAGGCAGGAAGGGGGGTAGAAGTGTCCGGTAGGCAGGAAGGGGGTAGAAGTGCCCTGTAGGCAGGAAGGGGGTAGAAGTGTCCTGTAGGCAGGAAGGGTGTAGAAGTGCCCTGTAGGCAGGAAGTGGGTAGAAGTGCCCTGTAGGCAGGAAGGGGGTAGAAGTGCCCGGTAGGCAGGAAGGGGGTAGAAGTGTTCGGTGGGCAAGAAGGGGGTAGAAGTGCCCGGTGGGCAGGAAGGGGGGTAGAAGTGCTCTGTAGGCAGGAAGGGGGTAGAAGTGCCCGGTAGGCAGGAAGGGGGTAGAAGTGCCCGGTAGGCAGGAAGGGGGTAGAAGTGCCCGGTAGGCAGGAAGGGGGTAGAAGTGCCCGGTAGGCGAGGGGTTAAGAAAGGGAGAGAGTATACTTTTACATTGTTTATAATATTCCCCAGTCAGTCTGTCAGGGCCGGGAGATTTATTATTAGGTAGTGTATCTCTGACCTTCAGGCAAGGAGAAGGGAGAATTCAATTTTTCGAAGCTGTAAGAAATCGAGCTGCGGTACCTTTAATTTATTTGAGAAGTCATCTATATCCTCCAGGGAAGATTGATAGACTTGGTTATCTTTACAGTGAACTGTAGTACTCGCTGAATACATCTCCGATATGCTGAGGGTCATAAACTTTGTTGCGTGATTTGGGGCTGATTAGGTACTCTAGTTTTAAAATGCCGACCCTGTATTAGGCGTGCTAATACTCTGCCCGCTTTGTTCACAGAGGAATAAACTGCATTCTCAGCCTTTTAGCATATTTTTTACTTAGCTATGCAAGAGTTAAACATAATTTGTGTCTCCATTGACATAACTTAATAGTTATCTGTTGAGAGGGATTACATTTGTTTTGATTTTCTAAGGAGTGTACATCTGAGAGAAGGTTATCTGTTTGACACTTTCTCTGTGTCAGGGACTGGACTTGAACCTGGGACCTTGACTGCATCAGCCAGTAACTCTTCTCACTGAGCTATCTGGGATTCTGGACAATACTCTGCCTGATCTATTGGACAATCCTGCCTTGTGCCTTGTTTTCTGTTGAACCTTGAACCCATTGCTCCTCCCATGAACTTCCTGATTTAAGCCATGTCTCTGCACTTCCTGTTTGTCAGATTATTGTGCTCTCCAGCCAGTATCTCGCTTTGTCTCTCCTGCTGCCGTCCATATCTTCGCTACCGACCTTTGGTCTCTTTTTTGACAACGATTCTGCCTCATCTCAACCTGCCACCACTTGTTACCGACCCTTGGTTTGTTCCGTGACTACGATTCTGCCTCATCCTAACTTACCACCACTTGTTACCGACCCTTGGCTTGTTCCTTGACTACGATTCTGCCTCATTCCAACCTGCTACCACTTGTTACCGACCCTTGGCTTGTTCCTTGACTACGATTCTGCCTCATCCCAACCTGCCACCACTTGTTACCGACCCTTGGCTTGTTCCTTGACTACGATTCTGCCTCATCCCAACCTGCTACCACTTGTTACCGACCCTTGGCTTGTTCCTTGACTATGATTCTTCCTCATCCCAACCTGCTACCACTTGTTACCGACCCTTGGCTTGTTCCTTGACTACGATTCTGCCTCCTCCCAACCTGCCACCACTACCACTTGTTACCGACCCTTGGCTTGTTCCTTGACTATGATTCTTCCTCATCCCAACCTGCTACAACTTGTTACCGACCCCTGGCTTGTTCCGTGACTATGATTCTTCCTCATCCCAACCTGCTACCACTTGTTACCGACCCCTGGCTTGTTCCTGGACTACGTATCTGTCTCATCCCAACCTGCTACCACTTGTTACTGACCTTTTGCTTGTTCCTTGACTATGATTCTGCCTCATCCCAACCTGCTACCACTTGTTACCGACCCCTGGCTTGTTCCTGGACTACGTATCTGTCTCATCCCAACCTGCCACCACTTGTTACTGACCTTTTGCTTGTTCCTTGACTACGATTCTGCCTGATTCCAACCTGCTACCACTTGTTACCGACCCTTAGCTTGTTCCTTGACTACGATTCTGCCTCATCCCAACCTGCTACCACTTGTTACCGACCCTTGGCTTGTTCCTTGAATACGATTCTGCCTCATCCCAACCTGCTACCACTTGTTACCGACCCTTGGCTTGTTCCTTGAATACGATTCTGCCTCATCCCAACCTGCTACCACTTGTTACCGACCCCTGGCTTGTTCCTTGAATACGATTCTGCCTCATCCCAACCTGCTACCACTTGTTACCGACCCTTGGCTGGTTTACTGACTAAGCTTCTCTGCTAGATCCCAACCTGCTATATCAGTTACTGGATCCTGGCTTGCTCACTTCCTGGTCAGGCGATCCTGAGAACTGCGATCTGGTACTAAAACACATCAGGAGCTCTGGTGAATACTGGTTAGTGCTTAGACCCCGCACCTCAGGTGAGCCTGCGTCATCTCCCAGGGTGACCCACTGGTGTACCTGTCCTTTTGTTTGGTCTGCTGCTATAGCTACTGATCTCTGAACCTGACCTCACACCGTGGCACTCTGTTTCTTTTCCCTCGCACCTAATTTGATAAAGAGACCTTGGATGTATGCCCTGTGAGCATTCCA